GTATGTATGGATCACTTGGGTTGTTACCGACATCTGGTGAAAATTTCATGTCATTAGCACCTCTAGTAATATATTTACTGAGAAAAATGTTGACCTGTTCAATACTTATTTTACCTGCTGTATTTATTTATTTGCTGCTGGCTTTTCACTCGATACTAATATCTAACTTATCTGCTTTGCTTTTCTATGGTTTTGTTTTTAACAAACTTTTAAATAATTTTTACTGATGTGTAGTCAAATCTGTCAAAATCCATAATCTATGAAGATTTATGAAAAAAAAAACATTTATTGCACTCTAATTCAAATACTGTATTTCAAAATGACCAGGAAACTCAACTTTAGCATTCTGTTGGGCTAATTGAGGCATAACCTTTTATATTAGGTTATTTTTTGAATCAATTCAGTTTTCTCAGTAATTAAATACTTAGATTAATTGTTCAGCTGTTGGTGGCATTCTTCAAGAATTCACACTGCCTCTTGTGATTTGTTTTTTAATTTCATTGCAATTTCTAATAAGTGCTACAAAAAACCCTGCTAGTTTAATTAGTGGGAATCTAACCTGTAAACTTTAACATTTAAATCAGAGAAGTTATAATATTAATAATAATATAAGTAATAATCATCACAGAGAAGAGGCAACATAAGAGGCTGCTGGTGTTTGGAAAATGCCATGCTAACTAATTCCTGCCTTTGTGCTTGCTGCCCCCTTCCCGTGTCGACCTAATAACCTGCTCTATATATATATATATATATATGTGTGTGTGTGTGTGTTTTCAGTGGCAGGTTATCAATGGTAAGACATAAAAAGTCAGTTTGTGTCAAAGCACTGCCCTGCAAAAGTAGTCCCTCCCCGTTGTTGCATTACAATCTACACTTTGGTAAACAGAGAAAAACATGCCAAAGAAAACTATAAAAATCTGATGTTCTAAGTTGGGACGTTGTGTCAAACATAAATTAAAACAGAAAACGATGATTTGCAAAACCTTTTCAACCTATATTCAATTGAATACACTGCAAAGACAAGATATTTAATGTTCAAACGGATAAACTTTATTGTTTTTTTTGCAAATATTCACTCATTTAGAATTTGATGGCTGCAACATGTTCCATGTTTACCACTGTGAATTATTTATCGGTTGAAAAGGATTTGCAAATTGTTGTATTCTGTTTTTAGTTATGTTTTACACAACATCCCAACTTCATAGGATTTGGGGTTGTATGTGGTGCTGTCAATGTTGATGCAACTAATTAAATGGATATTCCAGTCAAATTGATGTGAGATTCTACAGAAAGTTTGTGAATAATTAATGTCTTACCGGTTGTAGATGGCTCTTTGAACAGCCTCAGTTTGGAGAAATAGGTTTACTCTGAACGCAGTGGATCACTGCTGTCTTAAAACTGCTCGGTTCATACATTTTCATAGATCTAAAGATAATTTTTGAAATATATGATGATTTCTGTAGGAATCTGTGGTTTGTGAACAGAACAGCAGCTCTGAGCTGTAATTCTTCTGGTGCAGCCTGGGGTCTGGCAGAAAGTTCACCATTTTTCTGTCGAATTAACCCACTTTATTTATAAAACACATTTAAAAACTAATAAGTTGTCGCTAAATTGCAACAATAATAAAATAAGACAAAGGCAAAATAAAGATTTATGAATATCGTGTCTTAATAGACAGATGGTTAACTGTTGCAGTTTGTCTTTAAACAGAGAAAAACTAATGTTTCTTTAGTAAACTTTCCTACAAACTGTTTTCAAATACCTAAAGAGTTTAAACTTCTTTTAATGGATATTCTCTTGTTGCTTCAAATAACTAAAGAAAACCACAGAAACAGAGAATCGTCTTACAGTCTTCTACAGTCTGCTGTGATAGATGTAAAACAAAATGCTTTGATGATTTACAAACTTAAAACAAAATGAAGTGAGGTCTGTGGAGCTGCTTTGGATCTAGTTCAGTTGCTGTATTAATCAGTCAAGTGTGTGTGAGAGCATGTCTTTACACATCTGTGTGTGTTTGGTTTGCTATTGTGTCTGGTCCTTTTAAAGGTGCTCTGGCTCCTGGACCAGGAAAAGGAAGAGGAGCCAAACGTAAGCAGCAGCAACAACAGGAGGGTACAACTGCAGGAGCAACGAAGAGAACCAGGAGGTAAAAATAAATTTGCAATCAACTGTTGGACTAGGATTAAATCTTTACTGACTGATCATGACTAAAGTCACTCAAGACACCTTGGTTCTCTCACCAACGATATTTAATTGTAGCACAAGGCTAATTAGGAAATTATTACAGAGAATACTAAAGCTATTGCTAAACATCTGTAATTACATCACTGAGTTGTTTAAAAACCTGCATCAATTCATCAACATCACCAGGACAATTAGTCAGCTACAAACCTCTGTTAAATGTAAACATGTTACCAGTTAGTGTTTTTTTTTTCATTAGTGTTATAGATTATTTATAGATTATTAATACAGGTTTTCAATTTTAAACTATTTAAATGTCCCACTTTTTCTTAAGTCATGCAGTAAAATAAATATATTTATTGTGCACAAAATTAACTTTTACTATGTTTTCATCTTTTGTAGTAAGAGACTTTCTTTGAATCTGCATCTGAAGTTTTTAAGTTGGCACCTAAATGTTTCTAGCCTGGTTTAAACCAGACCCTGTCCTTCACTTTGCTTCGTACGAGGGTCTGGACTTGATGCACAGACAAGTGATTCTTGCAGGAGGCATGGCCTCTGCTGAAGTTTAAAATGATTGGCTGCGATGTATGTCGCTGTGACGGAGGCTAAGCTAAGAAGCTAACCGAAAATCACGTGTGCTGTAAACAACCCTACTGAGAGGAGAGAAGTACGGAGCCGAACGAGACGACTGTAAATGAGAGCTGCTGCTTTGTCAGACAAATTTATTTTAATTTGGAAGTTTTATCAACACAGACTTGGCTTCATTCACTTCCTCCACTGTCGTATGCTAAAATAACTAGCAGACACTGTGCAGAAAGTCGATGTCGTTCAAAACTCCTCCTGTTTGCTGATTGGCCCAAGTAAAATAAACTACAAGCAGACACTGCAGAAATTTAACGTTCTGTTCTCTGATTGGCCCGGCTAAAAATATGCCAGTGAAATCCATCTCAATGGGAGAAGTCCCAGACGAAGCAGTGAAGGGAAACTAGAATTGAGCAGAGCTGCGTAGGAAGGCAAGGGCCAGGCTAATATGTTTCTACTGAGTGCTAAAGAAATTACACACATTTGTTTTTAAAATCATGCTGATAAAAACAATTTTAGTTTAGGAGACAGCACTGCCGCGGAAACAGTCATGGGAGAAAGAAACTCAACTTTTTTCAGAAATAGAATTGTTCATATCTCTGCAAAATAAATATCTTCATCAGGCTGATCAAAGTGTTCAAATCTAACCTCAGATGTGTGTATGTATACACTCACCGGCCACTTTATTAGGTACACCTGTCCAACTGCTCGTTAACACTTAATTTCTAATCAGCCAATCACATGGCGGCAACTCAGTGCATTTAGGCATGTAGACATGGTCAAGACAATCTCCTGCAGTTCAAACCGAGCATCAGTATGGGGAAGAAAGGTGATTTGAGTGCCTTTGAACGTGGCTAACATGCTAACAGCAGGTAACAATAATTATCATGTCTTTCTTTCCGTCATGGCAGTGATCCTTTGTTCTCGGCTCAGCGGTTGCCTCCACACGGTTACCCTCTGGAGCACCCGTTCAATAAAGATGGGTATCGTTACATCCTGGCAGAACCCGATCCTCACGCTCCAGACCCAGAGAAACTGGAGCTGGATTGTTGGGCCGGCAAACCCATTCCTGGTGATCTGTACCGGGCCTGTCTGTATGAAAGGGTGCTGCTAGCCTTACACGACAGAGGTACTTTAAAACCAAGCAGTCCTTTTCCAGAGTTGTGACGTTTGTCTGCAGTGGAAACGGTTTTATTTAGATCTTGATTCATGCGCTACACGGTCTGTTACAGCACCTCAGTTGAAGATCTCAGACGATCGTCTGACAGTGACGGGAGAGAAGGGCTACTCCATGGTCCGAGCCTCTCACGGTGTGCGGAAAGGCGCCTGGTACTTTGAGGTTTCAGTGGATGACATGCCTCCAGAGACTGCAGCCAGGCTCGGCTGGTCTCAGCCTCTGGGTCAGTCCTGCTTCACATTCACTGACACATGCTGTGATATTCTACCTCCTCTACATCAGCTAGGGATTATTGCATTTTTTTATTGTCAGAGGACTTCCTTACATTTTTCCACTGGCATGTTTCAGGTAACCTACAGGCACCGCTGGGCTACGACAAGTTCAGTTACTCGTGGCGCAGCAAGAAGGGCACTCGCTTTCACCAATCGATGGGCAAACATTACTCCTCAGGCTACGGCCAGGGGGACACGCTGGGTTTCTTCATTGAGCTGCCTGACGGCACAGAGACAGCCAAGGCCCTGCCTGACACCTACAAAGACAAGGTAAACTCAGTGAGACCCACCTCTGCCCAGCAAACTGCACAAGACTTCATCCTGAAACTGTAGAAACACAACTGGATACTTCAAATGGAAGTTCTGATTAAACTTTGCTGTCTATATATTCAGCAGCAGAGGGCTCCAGTCTGTGTGATCCTTTTCTTAAGCCTAACCCTTTAAAAAATAGTCAGAAAATTCACATTTTTTAGAATTGACATGTTTATTAGCCCTTTAAACAAAATCCAAAACTTTTTTTGCCACATCACTTTGTTTATGAGATATTTTTGTATCAAATCTGATACACTGGGCTGTTTTGGTAACATTTTGCTCACAACAAAGTTAAGTTAAGAAACAAAATACAGTTTTGCCCATAACTTTTAACAAGTTTAGAACCCTCTAGGAAGTTTACTTATTTGTTGTTTTTTTTTACAATGAACTTTTTACTGCCATTTATCTCACTTTGTGATAGGCACAAATACAGTTTCTGTCCTTGTTCAGGCACAGGTGCACCTTACACTTTATAAAAAATTGCCATCTATTATCAAATTGATGACATTTTCTTACTTTCTTTTTTCTCTCTTCTTCCTCAATTCTCTTTGACATCTAACACGTAAATATTTAGTCAGTACAGTGTAGAGATTATAACTTCAAAGGAACCACTTTGAAAATAGCCGAAATGTGTTTTCAAATGGCATTTCAGTAATTAATCAATCATCCAAAATAGTGTGTGGTTGTATTGTGGCAAGAATACTGTTGATTAAATTACTAAAATTACTAAAATGTCACATGACAATTCAGGACTGGAGCAACTTATATACCTGCAGTATCAAGTTTGATACACAAATTTTTAACTCGGTTTAACTGTACTATTTAAAATATTTTAAGTAATTATGCATTGTTTCAACACAGAAAGTATTTATTTAAAAAAATACAAACAATAGTGATGTTATTCATAACTTCTCCAAAATTAGCAAAAGTTTTCCTGAAAAAAATGTGTGGATGACCTCATGTCAGCAGACATTTTGAAAAGGCAAAAAAAAAAGTTCCACTTCCTGCAGTAAATTGTTAATCCACTAGAGGGCAGAATACAGGTGTCACATGATATACAAGAGGATTTTGAGGAAAATATTGATCACATTGATAAAATATAGGTCATAGAATCCTGCGTAGCAAATATGATACAAATGGCGATATAGAAATCCATTTTTTTCTCTTCTGTTTTAAAAAAATCTCATCTACACGCCATTTTTTTTTTTTTTACAAAAAATCTTCATCTAAATGAAAATGATTAAAGATGTGGTACTGCTACTTAACAAACTTTAGATTCCTGCCTCAAACAGAGCTTTCACATTTGGATTATGTGACAGCTGACCAGTGTTTTTAAAATCAAAGTTTTCTGGTGCCAAGAACAGCCTTTGAATCATAAACTGTCAGCTCAACTACACCAAAAACTCTGTGGTCATTAAAACTAGGGCTGCGCAATATGGCTGAAAAACATATCATGATATAAGCATTTAATTATTGATTAGTTTTTAAACAGGTATGAGGCACGGTGGAGAAACATGAAATTGCTACTGCACGTTACCCAACAGGCTTTTTGCTAGCTTGCCTTGTTTAGCTGCAGGCTTTTAGCATTTGGGGTGTCGTATTGATACCCTCTTCAGTTTATAGATGCTTTATTTCAGTATAACCACATCCTAAATCACTCTACGATGGTGGACCGGTCCAGCAAACTAGCGCTCTATTGCTCGAATGTGCCAACAAGAGGGAGAAAGAAACCCTGGTTTACACATTTCAAAATAAAGTGCAAGCGTTTATTTATTTTTTTGTGGGTATTTGTCTATTAACATTTTGAAGCTTTTACTTTGAAGGTGAATCTTAGCTTTCCCAGTGTTGTTTAGCTGAAAGGTCCTAGCTTATTTTGTCAGAAAGTTATCAACGTTTAGCACTTAATAGCCACTGAAATTATCTACATTATATCGGACGTGATCTATATTGTTAATGAATTACCACCCAGCCCTTAAAATACGTGTTTGTGTCCTGAGCCTCACACTGTGTCTCAATTCATCTGGGCCACGTGGGTCACATCCTCCCTGGGCCGGGTAGGCTCCTCAAAACTGCTGTGAAATGAGACGGTCTACCCTTCGTCTGACATCAGCTTTACGTGAGTTTGTGTGACCACGTGCTCCCCCATTATCATAGTGATTAGTTTCACGTCGGACTTGAAATTGCGTCGGCACATGTATTTACACGTCTTTTTACTGAAAGAATAACTTCACAGTTAAAACGTTACACATTAATAAATACATAAAAAACATAATAATTCGGGGTTAGCTCCAGTAAAAACGACAGAGTATTAGGGCCACACAACAAGATTTTTTTTACTATTATTATGACAATAAAGTCATAATATTACGAGATAAAAGTTGCAATTTTATGAGAATAAAGTCATAATATGAGACTAAAGTCATAATATTATGAGAATAAAGTCATAATATGAGACTAAAGTCATAATATTATGAGAATAAAGTCATAATATTATTAGAATAAAGTCACAATATTATGAGAATAATTTAAAGTCAATATTACGAGAATAAAGTCTTAATATTAGACTAAAGTCATTATATTATTAAAATAAAGTCATAATATTATTAAAATAAAGTCATAATATGAGAGTAAGATCATAATATTATGAGAAT